GCTAAAGCTGTTGTGATGTCCCTGCCCTCAGGGGAAAAACACAATCAATAATCATTAAACCTGTGTGATTAAAAACCTTGTATCAGGGGYGTGGAAAGAAGTGGGGGTGAAAAGATGTGCGGTCTCCCCCTACYCTTTTCAGAAGATAATACACTAAAATACTTGTAGCCCTCAAATGCTTGCTCAAATATCGTTGTGACATTTTACTGAATGCATTCACATYTCCCATAGTGCATGTCAGGCTTGGTATGCAACATGTGACATGCAACAAAACTTTCAYSAACGTTTTTTGAAATAGCTGTATTTARAAAGTATTGAAATGAAACAATGACTGAATGTATTACAGTGCTAYRCACYGTACTGTGAACACTTCTACAAGTTTTTGATTTCTTTTTGACAACTCTTTGACAAATTTTAATTGTACTCTCTACTGCCAACCAATTAGACATCTGCACTTCACCTTGATGTTTGGATAGGTGGAGTCCATACATCAATGTAACGATATCAAAACATTAAAGTGAAGTGTCAAAACACAATTGGTTAGCTGTAAAGAGATCRATTAAAACTTGTCAAAMACTTGTAYGAAACTGTAACATTTCCCATTCATATAAAATCCWATCTACATGTGCTTAGTTATTTGGGCACTTTTTCTACTAAACAAATATTACCTGGTGTTGATCTTTGATTGGGAAACAGATAATATGTACTGAAAAAAAAAATTCATAGGTTTGAGTCATTATCACCATTTTAGTTTAGTTTAGCGTAGTGTAGCTAGTTTTTTATGAGCAAATAGGACATTTTCATTATGGCGCCATTGACTATCACTACCAGAATCCCTTTCTTTTGTTCATTTCATTAGTACCAATAGGACACTTGCATAATAGCACCATATACTACCATATAGTAGTATATCATGGTTGTGGTGTGGTGTGGTACAGTGCGCTTTCATTTGGGTTTAATGTAGTCTGTTGCGGCAAGGGTAGCATCTTTTAATTTGCTGAAGTGGAAAGAAGTGAGTTGAAGTGTATTCATTAGAGCCAAAATACAATTTACCTTTAGAAGGTGTGTGGTGACGGCAAGAGGTAAACAGCACAAATATCCTGAATGAATTCTCTATGGAACATATGGGAAAAAGTGGTGACAATGCAGTTGCTTGAGTGCRATTTTAAACTCTTACCACTACCATCTAACTGGTTTTTTTTTACCATACAATTATACCAGTCCTCTCTTCTTCAATGTAGGAAAGAAGAGACACCAAAATTCTAAGGGAGTGAACTGAATAGATGAGAGATGAAAGATGGAAGAAAAAATGGATGGATTGCTTGATTGATGAATGAATGGGATGGAAGGAGGGATGCATGAGATGGTTCAAAGGGAAAATGGATTGAACAGCTGAAGTGGAGAAGAGAGGAAAGGACAAATACATGGGATAGATAGAAAATCGACAGTAATTGACTTATCAAACATTCAAATACTAGATAATGTTTCTTGGGGTAATATTAATAATCATTTCAACAGTTAGGACTCACTAACCAGGGCATYGTTGACAAAGGAAGCCACAGCCAAGATATTAACAGATGATGGAGTCACTTCCTTGTTGTCACAGAACAAAAGATATGCGGGAAGCTGAAGCATTACCCTGAAAAATAGAGAATTCAAATTTACAATGGGAAATAGGGTATTTGGATCATTGTAGGGCTATTAAAGTTAGATAACTGTTAGATTATTTATGCTACCCTTCTAAAATAAAGATAACCCCCACCACCACGTCACTGACGCCACCACTAACTGGGTGAACATGAACTAACTGGGGACACTTTTTACTTACACACACTACCAATACATTCATTGTTCTCTGTACACCACACTCAACTCRTGTTGATTTTTACAGAGGGAGGAAACYAGAGAACCTTGAGAAAACCCTYATAGCATAGGAGAGAACACATCAAACAAACTTGATTCACATGWAGTGTCCGTAGGGCTTGAACCAGCGACCTGAACCTTTAGAACCACAGTAGCGAAAGATGAATGACGTCCTATAGTAGCATACATCCTTTWCTCGGATAAGRACTTAAAATCGTAGGCCCTCTCGGTTCAACGGCCTATCCCAATCTGGAGGCATAATACTAACATACTAACAAATCACTCATGATTGTAAGCTGCACGGCTGCTACTACCACCTTAATATGCAGCCCATAAAGTCCTCCACTGATCTTGTAAAGCGCCATTGAGMTCCTGGAAATGGYGCTATATCAATTCATCCCTTTACCTTTTTACATCCAGAAGGCAGTCACATTATTTGCCMAACTTACCAAGTAAATGACCTTGTTTCATTCTCTATCAAGACATCTAGAGGTAAACCATCAGTAGAATCCTCTCCTTTTTCTTTCCTGATTTTTTCTATTCTTTTCTGGTACTGTTGTAAGAGCCAAGAAAGTTGTGCATCTTGTGGTTGTGGGTTGCGAGGTAGCAACTGAGTTATCTTCTGCAAAAACGAAACATAACAATAAATATTGTACAATATTTTTTGTTTTGTTTATTTAACATTTTGGAATTTTAACAGGATCATCCAGTTTAGCCTAGGGCTACAATCTGGGTCAAAAATGTTGAGATATTTTTAGTTTTAATGGTATTTTCATGAAAAACATGAAAAATTCCCCTTAAAACGACCCTCCCCCCCCTAAACAATGTTGTTTCGAGGGAGAAAGGGCTGCTTCACCTACTGGGACCAACATTGTCCTGGGGGTGAGGGGGTACAGACAATATTCTTTTTAATAAAGGAAAGTCTACTATTTCATAATTGGATGAAAAATTCTCAACTCTTTTTGTCCAAGATTGTAGTTTAAATGAAGTTCTGCATAAAAGAATATGATTACAAAATAGAATGAAGAGAGCCATGAAGGTTGTGTATCTTGTGGTTGTGGGTTACACGGTAGCAACTGAGTTATATTCTGCAAAAAAAGAAATATAAACATAACATCATACAATATACAATAATTATACAAACCTCTAAGAGATGAACAAGATCCTTGGTATTCCTTTGCTCCAAATTTTTCTGTTTCRCTGTGTTCTTGTCACTCATGCAACTATGTATGCTGGACGAACAGTAGTTCCTTCAATGACAAACATTGCCAAGCTGATTTTAGTGCAATAAATAACAACTCATTACTCATTAGGGCCGTAAGTTAGATAACACACTGGGTTAATACGTCACCCTCTTTAATTGATTGATTGATCGATTGATAATTATGGTACCTTTTGTCATTCAATAATCACTACTGTGGTCCTTGACTACAGACCCATTTATACAAGTTAAGCCTTGTTTCAGAGGAARCCATTCCCAAAAAGGAACTTTAATGTGAAGGATGTACAACCTAAACAATACCAAACTTTTGAAAAATCCCATGGAYTTTTAATGGTACATATGGATACATATAACAATGCTAAACCTGCATGCAATGAACTAAAGAGGACTATTACAATCCCTAAACAATTAACCAAACGTTTCRGATGTCTCATTTTTTTACTAACTATGGAGCTTGAGTTTCCAGAATTGAAATTTGTGAACTTTTATAGAAATASTTTTTAAAGCTGGCTCCATCCCATACATTTGCCCAGAGCCCTTCTTTTCTTCAGTGGGAGGGCACAAAAAGAAAATTGGATTAACGTTGCTTGCCAGGCTGTTTGCAATGTGCAYTGATAATGAGGTCACCAGGAACATGTCTAGTGTTCTGGGACAGGAAAATCTATGCAGTTTAATTTACCATGGCATGTAAACAGTCGGGTACTACTGAACAGGACTGCTCTGATGTAACCATGGATACTAAGAATATATTCAACATGAATGAATGTGTTGGGTGTTTTGGTGATTGGTTGAAAGGATACAATGGATGGATGGATGGATGGATGGATGGATGGATGGATGGATGGATGGATGGATTGATGGAAGGATACAATGGGTGGACGGATAGGATGGATGGAAGGATAGGATGGATGGAAGGATACAATGGATGGATGGATGGATAGGATGGATGGAAGGATACAATGGATGGATGGATAGGATGGATGGATGGATTGATAGGATGGCTGGATGGATAGGATGGCTGGATGAATAGGATGGATGGAAAAGAAGGATGGATGTAATGATGATGGGTGGATGGATAAGATGGATAGAAGGATAGGATACTTGATAGGATATGAGGAAGGATAGGATAGATGGAATTAGAGATGGATCTATGAGAGGTGAGAGGAGTAGATGAGTGGGTGGTTGAGTAAGTAAGCTGGCCAGGTAGGTGATGAATGGATGGATGGATGGATGGATAGATGAATGGATGGATAGATGGATGGATGGATAGGATGAATGGAAGAATAGGATGGATGGAAGGATAGGATTGACAGATGGATATTATGTATGGAAGGATAGGATGGATGGAAGGAAAGAGATGGATGGATAAGAGGGGCGGATGAATGGGTGGTTGGCTAAGTAGGTAGGTATAGGTATCCAGTTAAGATGGTAAAAAGATACTTACTTCAATTTGTTGTCTAGTATTTGATCAAGTATAATTGAACAAGCTGTTCTGTAGTCACCATCACATCCTCCATCCTTCAAGGACATTGGTAAAAAGTGTCCCATCACTGTCACCTCATGGTATTGATGCCTACAACATGACAAACATTCATGCCCATGTGATACATATAATTCATTTTTAACMATGTCTGATCATTCATGTCTCAGAATGCACTACTTGTATTTTCTTTTTTTTAGTACTTGGAAAACTAGAGCTGAAGCTA